CCCCGCGTTCCCGTTCCCGTTGATGTCCCTGACCATGGCCCTTCAGTTGATAAGTCGACGGACTTAATTGAATTTTGAGCGAGACAAAGGGCAGCAGCTCGGGGATTATAAAATGAGAGATATACGTAACGCTGAACTTCAGATGTCCTTCAATCGGAATTGTGAGCATATTTGGCGTGCATGTCCTGCCAGCCAGGGCGCATCTTTGCGCCCTCCCTCCCTCCCCGTCAGCCCCTTGGCCTCCTCATCCACGGCCCTTTATTTGTTGTCATATGTTGCGCGCATTTCTTTGGCTGCCTCGAAATGACTTTGCGGATTAGCGAGGCGCAGCGAGAGCGGGGGGTTGCGGGCTTACAGAGGCTGGCGGGGTAGGGTGGGGGGGTTCGACAGTCAGGCGCCCTTAACAAGTGCTTGTCGGTGGTTGGCATTGGATTGACTTGCGTTTTGGCCTTTTATTTGTTAATAATCGCTTAATAAATGCAAAATGCATACGCCGAGGGTGCGTCGACCTAGGGGTGGGGGCGGGAATGGGAGTTGGGGTTGGGGTTGCTGCTTTAATTTGGCATTTATCGTTTATCTATTCGCATTGTGAGAACTGCAGGTTTTATTGGCACTTGTGCCGTTGCCCTCATCCGCCCATCCACCCCTCACCCCGGACAACCCTTAGCTCTGGTAATGCTTTGGGTGTTTCGCAAATTAATTCCCAAGCAGCAACGGCCCGGGCCGCGCCTTAAGTGGCTTAACAGCTCAGCTTTGAGGTTATTCTCTCTGCCTTCCCGTTTTGCCCTTTATTTATTTATTTATTTTCTTTTTTAATTAAGTATGTGTATGTCAAATTAGTTGGCAATTGATGCGAGGCCAACCAGTTAATATGCTCAAAATGCTGACAGCCAAAGGCTGATCGGATAACAATACTCACGGCGTATTCCACGAGGGATTCGCATTCGCCAGAGTCAGAGTCAGCTCTCATCCATATGCTGGCTGCATGAGTGAAACTCGAACCATCTGTTAGGTCCGTTCAGCCACGCCTACCCTAACTCCTACGCCGAAAGCTTACTTTGAGCAACAGCAACTATATTGAAAGCTCCAATAGATCACTTGAAGTTTCACTCAAAGCTCTTGGTTTTCCTATTGCAGCTCTAGGCGTTTGCTTTGCTTATAGCTAACTCAAAGAAATAAAGCACTAATCAAGCTTTAAGTACTATATAAAAGCTTGATTTTGTAGCCTTCTTATAGGTCACTTTAAATGCGCTAAATATTAAATATAATTAGGGCTTTAAGTACCATCTCTCCTACTTGTCAGTTCAAGGCTCTCTTATATCTCTAATTAACCTATATATCTCTTATATTTTAAATTAAAAGCTCTCTTCATGTTGTCATTACAAGTGCTGGGAATCAAAGCTCTAATCTCTCTGTATAGGTGTTTAGTACGCTCCGTTTCGCAAGCTTAACTATCCTGGTACTCTTCAAGCCTAAGCCCCCACCATTATACTCCACATTCTTCCATTAACTATAAAGCTTTAATTTTTTTCCGAATTTCGTTTAACCAAAAGCTCAAAAGTGAAGTATGATCTAATGAAATATTGAACTTTACCATTACTCTGAACTGTTTTCCTTTTGATTCTTGGCGATCGAAGAGCTTTAAACTAATTGCACTCTGAGTGGATTAATAGAAGATTAATAGGACGAGATTTTTTAGGGTAGCATTGAGATATGTCGAAGCTTTCATTGATCTCCTTTATAATTCATACAAAATTCCTTGAAAGCTCAACCCATAAAGCTTTTATGTCCCACTCCAACACGCATTCTTAGTTCTGTTAAGCACTCTTAAGCAAACATATACTAAAAAGCTTCATCTCTCTCTTTCTATCTCCCTCTCTCTCTCTCTCTTTGGCAGGCATGCATCGGAAATCAATTGAGGCGCAATCAACGCTCAAGGACGACTCCGGCGTCAGCGATCATGAGGATTCGGCTGGCTCCAAGTCCGTTCACTCGGATGAATTGCGCTCGCATTCGCGCGCGCTCAGCTCGTCGACGGAGTCCCTGAACGTGGTCAGTCCGGCGCCGAGCAGTTGTCCGACGAACGCCTCCACTGCGCCGCCCACGTCGACGACGCCGCACGGCAGCAGCGGCTATGCGGCTGCCTCGTCGGCGGCAACCACGCCCACCGGCGCCACCACCAACAGCTCCGGCTCGCCGCACATTGAGCTCAGCTCGCCGTCGCCCTCGCAGCAGCAACAACAGCAACAGCAACAGCAACAACAACAGCAGCAACAACAGGCACAACACCAACAGCAGCAGCAACAGCAGCTGCAGCAGCAACAGTTGCTCCAACAGCAGCCGCCGCCGCCGCCCGCCCAGCTTTATGCCGTTGCCACGCCCAGCTACCATCCGCTGCTGGATGCGGCAAATGCAGCAGGCGCTGGCGCCGCTGCCTCCAGCAAGGACTTCCACTTGATAATGAACACAGCCGTGGCAGCAGCTGCAGCAGCAGCCCAACACCAGCAACAGCAGCAGCAACAGCAACATCAACAGCAGCAGCAGCAACAACAACAACAACAGCAGCAGCAGCAGCAACTGCATGCGCATCATTTGTCGGCAGCAGCAGCTGCTGCAGCGCTCATGGAGCACGATCCGGATGCGTTTAGGTAAGCAATGGAGCACTGCTTGCGGATCTGCAATTTGCAGTCTCTAATCTCTCTAATCTCTCGCCTATCTAATCTTCCTCTCAGAAACAATTCGATTGCCTGTCTGCGCGCCAAGGCGCAGGAGCATCAGGCGCGGCTGCTCAACAACGGCGGACTCTTTCTGCAGGTGCGCAGCTTTGCCCAGGCTCAGGCGCAGGCGCAGTGTGATATGCTCAAGGAGCGCAGCAATAGCAGCAGCAGCAACAACAACAACAACAACAGCAGCAGCAGCAGCGCCTATCAAATGCTGCAGCTGCAGCAATCGGTGGCAACGGCTGTGGCGCCCATCAAAATGGAGCTAACGTCAGTGGGCGGCGGTGGCAGCCACGCCCACAGCGATAACGTCTGACATGCAGCAGCGACAGCAGCGTTGCCAGATCACTTTCAACGGCACTTTTAGCTCCACAACAAAGCAAATGGATCCAAAAATTATATACATATATAAATATAAAAGAAACCACAATTTTTTTTTTCTAGATCTAAACTATTTATTCGCTATACCTAATCAAAACAAAAAGAAATCAATTATTGTCATGTGTAATCCATATATGATATGATATATGCGTAAGTTTCGTTTAGCTCCTAAGCATCAGAAATGTAATATTTTTTAATAAACGCATTATCCACACACAAGTAATACAATATTTTCATTCATTTTTCCCATGGGAAAATTTTACAGCTGACAGAATAACCGTTAATGAAAATGGCACAGCTCGCCGAACGACCGTTACAGCCAGTGCTGCCAGTTGTTGTAGAGCATTTGGCTGCAATGCTAGCTGTTATACATGGCGATACCGACAGCTAGATGGCGCTAGTGTGCCGCCAGCCGGCGGCGTGATACAGCAAACAGCTTTTGTTAGGCCGAATGCAGAAATGCGCTAAATTTGGAAATAATAAAATATTTATAAATATCAAGAGAAATAAAACAGGGCTATTAAAGTTCCAACAGTATTCTCTTTAATTGACGATTGAAATATTAAGGACGTTCATTGTCGTGCCTTGTGTCGTAGTACTTTCGCCGCAGAGAATTAGTACAGCTGAGCACTGATTATTTAGATGTACATAAGAATACGTAGATAGGAATACTTCGGGATAATTTGGGTAAACTTTAAAATGATAGTCCTAAATGAGTTTGATAGGCATGCAGACAGAACACATATTTGTTAATATACTCCCACAGCCAGTCGCATGAACTCTCTCGCTCTTCTCTCGCTGTCCCACTCGCTCAGTTGTTCATGATCATTTGGAGGAAATTGCGGTAACAAATTTGATTTTCGTCTTCGGTTATACCGCTGGCGAGAGCAACAAGTTCGGGAACTGTGAAGTTCTCGCCGCTCTTTTCGAGCAGCTCTATCATGGTAGCGTGATTCACATAGCCGGTCTTCTCTTTGTCGATTTTACGCAGCGCTCGTATTATGTCGTCGCGCTTCGTAAGGTCCATGTGGTAGGCGTGCTTGCCGAGGGCCGTCAGATACATGCGCACCTGCTTCAGCTTGATGGGGGTCTCGGTATCAGTGGGGAAGAGGGTCTGCATCATGGTCACATAGTCGACATCGCCGGCCCCATCCGTCATGGAGTCGAGCAGGGTGCTCACCTCCCCATCGCTGAGCCGCTGGCCCATGGTGGTCAGGATGCGGCGCAGTCGTTTAGCGGCCACCCTGCCCGTTTTCAAACTGTCGTAGCAGCTCAGGCCCTTGATCAATATGTCGCAATCGGGCACCGGATCCACCTGTACCACCTCACTGTAGACGGCCAGGACCAGCTCAAAGTTGGCGGAGATTGCTGGCTTCACGTGCGGAAAGGTGAGCAGACGTTCCACCAAACTCGCCTTCATAGTCGTATCCTCGAAGTTGGCGCCCATCGCGCGCAGGCACTCGCCCACCTTCAGGATGTCAATGGTCGCGATGCTGGGTGGACGTACGAACAGGCGATAGGTCTCCCACAGCTTCATCACGTGCGGCAGCTTGTCAATTATCTCCGAGCAGGTCCAGAATTTGCCGAACTTATAGATGGGCGAATGGACCCGAGCCTCATAAGCCCGTGCCCGTCCATCTAAAGATTTGTACTCCTCAGGCGACATATGTTCGGGTACAGCAATAGCCACGAAAGGCGATACACCAGCATTATGACGCGATAGCGGTACATTGGATTCGCCAGCAAGTACCTCGGATTCGCTAGCAGAGTCACCAGTGGATGCACTGCTCATTTCTACGGCAGCTCTCATCGCAGCTATGGCGAGAGTAATTTGCTCGTCACGATCGCCAGCGGATTGTTCCGAACAATTGTCCGAGTCTCGGTGGCACGTAGAGTTCAACATTTTTGTATAGATATATATGTATATA